AAATCAATATAAGCACTCTATGAACTGGGTGCCAAACTTTGATCAAGATCTGAAGCTAATAGAAAATCTGTTTAGTTCAAAGTTATCAAATCAAAAACAATACATAAAAAATACATAAAAAGCAAAACATTTCATCCACATTTTAAAAAGAAAATTGTTCTAAAATATATGTATTCTGTATTTGATAAACAGTTCATTCGACAAATGAAAACTCACAGGAATATGTTTCAGCTATTAGAACAGAATGATAGAGTTTTTATAATACTAGTTTAAAAACTCACTTCAAACAAAGATTGCAGTGTTTGAAGATGTAGGTTCTCAGGAGGCAACAGTACTGTTGACTTCTCCCTCCACTGGACACCAACTAACTATTTAAGTTGATTTGCATACAAAGCAGAGCTTGCAACATGATAGCTATTCATAAAGGGTGTTTTTTTTTTTACTTTTCATATAATACAGTAGTCACACAATGAGGCAGTTCATATTTGTCTCAGTGAATCATTAATTTTTGACAGACACCTGTACAAAATACTTGGACAAAAGCCAGCTAAGATTTTCTGTTATCTTGCATGTTTTATGAATCTATTCACGTCTAAATGCAGCACTTTTTTTTTTGCAATGAGGCATTTGTTTTTATACTAAAATATCTGAATTACTTTGAATAAAGCTGGAAATTATGTCCTTAAAATAATTAAACAAATAAGGCACAAATGTTTTTGTAAGATATTTACATCTTTAAAGGACATTCGGTAGACTGATTCCCCACTGTTACCCCAGACCATATATTATTTTATTGCTAGGACGTATGCTGTTGTTAGGGATTGGTCAGTTACTTCGGCCTGGGGTGGATCAGTAGGGAGGTTACCCTGTTTTTGATTTTGCGAATGGGGGGGGGGGGGTCACCCTGTTTTCCACAATTCACACACGCGCTTATGCATATATTTTTTTAAATTTTATTTCAGAACAATAGATTAAAAAGTTAATCGTACAAATGTGTTCTTAATAATAACTATTACCCATATTGCCTATAAATTTGTTGATGCAAAAAATGTTATAGGCTAAATATTTTGGGGTTGAAGTTGACAAATAACTAACAGATTATGCAATGCGGCAGAGCCCCATGCAATTATACAGTTAAGTTTTGAACACATCCCAAGTCAATGTGATATCAGATTATTTTATTTAAAGTCTGAAGTCACCATTGTATAAGATATTTACTGGATTTATCCAATTGTAGCTGGAGACGGAAAAACACAGCAATTAGTACAAAGAGCAGTGACAGTTTTTGTTCAGCAAATCAAAAAAGTTAAATGGATTCATGTATATGAATAAATAGTTTTTTTGTTTTTTTTACTTTTAAATATGCATATTTTGCTCTGTAAAATACCAAAATCCAACGCAAATTTATACAAAAATCAAAGTGTCCTTTGTTTTCATAAGC